CGTTTTTTGAGCTTATAAAAAAAACCCTAGTGTACATGGAGCCTTGAAAAAACTATTTTTTTTCTGCTTCTAGACACTGAAGCTCAAAAAATGCTAATAGCCTAAAGTAGTGTGCGTGAATATGCAGGATAACACTATTTAGCTTCTAGAAGCAGAAAAAAATATGCTGATAATAACTAATAGGAACTTTTAAAAAAATGCTAGTGTGCATGGAGTCTTAATGATGATGTCCATCATTGAACTCAAAGCCTGAGGGCATCTAGTGGAGGAAAATATGTTTAGTGGGGAACGGCTCCAGATTACAGGTGAGCATTGCAGTAAAAGCAGCTTTTTATTCTATCTATTTCTTTCTGTCACTGACTAGAACAACTATGCAGAGCAGAAAAATTAGATCAAAGTTGAAGGTCAACCGCAACATACTTGTTCCTGGTTACTGGCTTAAATGTTGAAGCATGAGCACCAGACAAGCAGCATTTTAAAAAAGAAGCCAGAAAAGCAGTGTTTTCAAAAAGAATCAGCTTCTGTTTTTTTAATCATGAAAGGGTTTCTGTCAGATGGAAACACCCTGCTCTCTCTTGTAGGGTTACTCTGTAAACTAACTAGTTGATATGATTTTAAGTTCTGTAAAGGAACATACTGTTAATGATGGGACAACTACATTTCACTTTCAAATGATGGTCTATATTAGCAATAAAGTAAAAATATGCATCTGTTTATCTTTTGGATTTGTTGCGTTTTCTGAATGCTACCAATTATTTGAATGCCTCTGAGCAGTTGTGCGTTGTGTGTATTTTTGTTTTTAGAAGGCATTGTAAATGTTCTTAATTTTAATTGGATATTATGTAACTGCTATATTTCCTTGTCATCACATTATTTTAAATGAAATCAACATGTAGATTCTTTCTGCAGGCTTCATCGCTTCTGGGCTACATATACTCTAATAATTAACACTTTTTTGTCATATCCACGGTGTTATACATATAACTGTGAAGCACATATAAGTTAACAAAGCAGTCAGTAATGGAAATAATAAGGCTGTAATTTCTTGGGTGAAACTTTGGCTACTCATCACATGTACGACACACAACTAGATGTTTCTTTTTTTGCTCACATGTTAATTGAACTATAAAGTCTTAAAGTAAGCAGTTGAATTACAGCTTTTCATTCATTTTTTTCTTTCTTTTTGGCAGTCACTTGACACAAACAGGGGCATTTGAAGATCCTCGAATTGAAAGCTGCCAAATCAACCCTCCTGTACCAAGGAATGTGGAAATGAGGAGAGATCCAGTTCTTGGCTTTGGATTTGTCGCTGGGAGTGAAAAACCTGTTGTTGTCCGCTCAGTAACACCAGGTGAGTTATTGTAATTAACCACTTGAAGTCCGGACACTTTCACCTCCTTCCAGTCGAGGCCAATTTTCAGCTTTCAGTGCTATCACATTGTGAATGACAATTATGCAGTCATGAAACACTGTATTATATAAATATAAATGGTGAAGCGCTATAAATAAATATCAGTAAATAAATTATGCTTCAAAGTGCTACATAAGTGACATTCCAAAGTGACAATGTGCAAAAAAAATTGGTCCCACAAGTGGACCTATATACAGTGCAGATGAACCCCACACAAAATAGGAATAATATAAGTGATAAAATAAATAAAATCACTCCAATTAATAAGTGCTATAAATATCTAATAACGATTGATAAATACCAAACAAACATATAAAGTGATGGCATAAAATTGATCCCAAATAAAGTGCAATACAAATCCCTCACAGTCCCAGTGGGGGACATATATAGTGATTTAATTAATAAGTACACTACTCTAACTAAAGGTGACTGGTGTTAATAACAAAATTCAATATTTTAGGTGAAATAACTAACAATATAGTCCATCATTGTGCAAAAAATGCAAATATGTGCAAAATATCTTGTGCAAATTGCAAATATTTGTGCTTCAATTTCCACTCCAAATATTTTCATTGCTTGTGCGACACTCAGGTGGAACACATATCCATAAATGGCCAAAATGCCTCCTCACCTCCTTACCGCAACCACTAAGGGCCTAAAAGCTTTATACAGCAACCACTTCCACACCATGAGGCATCACATATAACTAGCTCCAATAGCTCCACTTAATCTCAGCTCTGGATCTCCCCTCAAATGGTGCATGCAACATTGTACCCATATGAATTTTTTAGCATTTTTTTGAGACAGATAAAACTCTATTTTGGTGGTATTTATTCACCACTGGGATTTTTATTTTTTTTTGCTATATAAATGAAAAAGTCCACAAATTTTGAAAAAAAAAGTGTTTTTCTGTAAAAATTTTGCAAATAAATAATTTTGCTTCAGAAATCTTGGCCAAAATGTATTCATCTATCTTTTTAGTAAAAACAAAATAACCAAATTAGTTTATAAGTAAAAATTATAATTTTCTAATTTTTTTTTTACATTTTTTTTTTTTTTTTTTTTATATATTATTTATGTTTTTACATACTCACCCTAGCAGTACAGTGTCACCATATTGACACTGTACTGCTTGCTTGTGGGGGGTGATGAAGATTTTGTTTTCTTTTTTGATATATATCAACATAGGTCAAACAAGCATGGTCATTCAATGAATAATCTCTAGATGGCAGCAAAAAGCTGGTTATAACAATAACAAGGATGATAATACAGGATCATCCACAGAGATTTCTTCACAACTCCACCTCAACATGTAGGAATAGAGAACAGCCTCCCATAGTGTAAATAATTTATTATATTAAAAGCATGAACAGTGTAACACTCACAATGTCTTAGAGTATAAAGATCGGTATGACAGCATAATAATCACCACACTTCCGGTCCGTAACCGGAAATGACATCACTAAGCTCCGCCCCACACGTTACGCCACCAACCACGTGGCTTAGTCAGGGATAGGCCGTCCAGTGACGCTCACACAAGATATACACAATGGTAACTACTATAGCAACTGGACACATAATAGCTCTAAAAAGCCAGAGCATGCTGTATTATCCACAAAATCAGATATAACACAATAGTAACTTTTATATTATTATGCTGTCAAACCGATCTTTGGATTTTTTCTGCGTAGGAATCTGCAATGTGTATAAAGTTTTCTACACGGGAAAAAAAAACTGACGTGATATCAACACTGTGGTGTGAACAGGGCACATAACTGATGTGCATGAAAGCTGATGTCAACGTGCATAAAAACTCACTGAAACAAGCCTGAAAACTGATGTAAACTGTTGTGAAACTGATGTAAATTCATGTCTCTGCAAGTGCAATCTGCACATTTTTCCCTGCAGTTTCATTGCACATATGGTGTGAACGAGCCCTAAAGCTTGTTATACACATAAAGATTTTGTACTCAGTAAACTATATGAATGGAGGAATCTCCAACTACCATTTACTGTATCCTGACAACCAGGACCTGCAGCTGTCAGAATACCTCAACAGTGACAGCAGCTGATTGGTTGCAGTCACTGTATGGATGACTTTTTCCCACTTGGTTCCCTTGATCCTCAATTAGTATTTGTCAAGCTGGGTGTTGGCAGGGCCACCTATGGCTTAAATTTAGGACGGTTCCCTGGAATTGGAAGATCCCTGGAAGGTAGAAGCTTCATTTTTGCAACACTATGTTGTACATTACATAGTACTGACCAAAGTGTTTATTGTCCCAACAATTGCTGGTTTTTATGAAGTTCTTCTTTAGGTAGGTTCAAACAGACAAAGCAATCACTTTCTGTGTGCAGAAAGGCATGTGTAATTGAAACGCTTAATTTTTTTTTAAATCATCCGTTGTTGTGAGGTTTATTTGTGTCTGTGAGCCTATCAGTTGTGGCACAGTAATTAGGAGTATTTTGTGGGTAAAAGGACTGTGGTACATGAGTGCAGTGTGTACAGCGACTAACCACAGATTCTGTTTTTAATCATCCCCCTTTAAGTCTGTCCCCTTTCCCCTTTTAGGGCACACACAGCCAGGCACACAACATTTTAGGCATTCTTCCTCTGGGTCAATAATTTAATCAGTCTATGGGTTCTTTTTTGGTTTTTATTGGGGAACTGTGAACTTGGATAAAGATAGAGATCATGAGATACCTCAGAACTGCAAAACATGAAATAAACAAACATGATGACCACTAACTTTCTGGCTGCTCTGCTCACCAGCTCTATCTCCTAAACTCTCTTCTGACCCTCTGGGTTCTTAGGTTGCTTTGTGAAGAGGCAGATAAGCCTAGCTGGTACCTCAATTCTTCCTTCCCCAGCTTCTGCTCAGCAGGGCAAGGCCTCTCAACCGGGGTCTCCTCCAACAGGTTGAACTGTAGAACACTGCCCTACAGCCACATAGAGCAAGCTGCCCCTGCTGCACAGGCTTCCGCATATTTATGCTCCCCCCACCTTCTGGGCACACACCTCCCTAGGGGTTGGCTGGACTCCCATAATTATTTAGATTGCAGTTCTTCTGCCCTCCCTCCCACTAGGTTCTAGAAATTTCTAGAAGATGGGAAAGTAGCAGAGCAGCAGCCCATGAAACCCTGAGCAGCTCCAATCAATCAAGCCCTGCTATTCTGATTACAGAGGAGCCATAACTAAATTTACCTAGCAACCTACTCAAACCTAGGAGGGTGCTACATCTATACTGTTTAAATATAGATTCTCTTATTTTTATGTTTGTTTTGTCAGTAAAAAAAAGTTGTCAACCCTGTATGGGATTATTTCAGTTGGTTTGCATTTATACATCTTTGTTAGGTTTAGCATTGTCTTGCTTTGCTCCTTGAGATGGATATGCTTTTACGGTCTGTCCTAGCTCCTGATGTTGCAGAGGTCTACAATAAAATTGTCAAATGTCATCTAGAAATCATGTCTGATGTGATGGCTACTGCTTACTTTGGATGTCAGTTATGCCAGAGACTCTTAAGGGATATACTACATAGGGGTGCTATTTTTAATTCTGGAATAGTGGAGTGGAGTAGGATGTTATGTCCACCACACAGGGGCGGACTGACCATTTGGAAACTTGGGCACTGCCCGAGGGCCCTGGGTCAGTAGGGGGCCCCATGAGATGCCCCTGGTACCTTTTTCATAGGCATTTTTGAGTTTGGGCAAGGACACAGGGGCCCCATAATCCCCTATTGCTCGGGGGCCCCATGAGTTGTCAGTCCGCCCCTGCCACCACATCAAATACATTTTGCTGTATTCTGTGTCAGTGGGCATGCAAACCCTGCATTCCATAGATTACATAGTTTGCGTGAAACACCACCCCGACAACGACTCATTACACTGGAGTATAGGATATTGTAAAAAGTGGGGAGGGGGTGGGGGCAGTTGCAAGAAAAGTTTTCAGCCTGTTATCTCCAGCTTAGCATAAACCTTCTTAATGAGCAGGGCAAATACATTTGGTCCTCAATTATCATTGCTTTCATACTGTATGTACATGAAAGTTAAGGGCTTTTGTAATGGACCTGTAAAATGTATCTAAATGCAAGTACTATATAGCAGCTTACCAATCCTTAGATGTGGTGGCTGCATTAGTTTGGCTTTTTTTCTTTATTTTTACCTGATTTTCCTAATCCTGTTCTTCCTGTCTTAAGGTGGCAATGCTCACCCATGGTACTGTGTCTATGGATGAATAACATTGTCACTCTATGACAGGACACGCACCCTTTAGCTCTCCTCATCTCCATATCATAGGAAGAGGTGTACTGTAGCCCAGAGAGAGGAGTGCCACAGAACTCTGTGGACAGGGTCCCTTCTGTATCCAAGGGTGTTCGGTTTTGCTTTATCTCCAAGCATATGTTGATGCTCTCTCTGCATTAATGGTCAACATGTCTGTGTGGTTTTAAAACAGCTGACATTTAAATACATATTTTAAATGTGGACATTTATATAGCCAATTCAAGAAGCCAACCTCCTTACTTAAAAACAGTAATTGTTAACCCAACTATATATAGAGCTAGAGCAATGCAACACAAACCCAAGCAGTGTCTGGCACATAGTAAATGTTTCCTTTCTGTTAAAATGCATATAATGATTCAAAGGGGTTGCAATTAAGCTTCAAATCAAATACTTAGCCAAGTGAACTGGAATACAACTATAATTAGTTCTATTTAGATGCATATTTGCGATGCTCACAAAATAGCCGTCTGCTATTCTTGAGCAGCAGTGCATTTAAGAGATTGATTAGAAAGTAAAAAAGGGATTCAGTCAGTCATGGCTTAAATATACATCTCTCTCCACAAAATTCACAAACAAATGTCACTCAAATTAATTATTTCTTTTACTTATTGATACATATTTTTCTAGGCTTAAATTCAAATCAAAGTGTAGCAGCTGATAAATTAACCTATCCATTCAGAGACATTTATTTTGCTTTGCTTGATTCCTGAAGCAAAGCTCATTCGTATGCGCTACATACAGTCTGTTACAGACTGTTCCAAGTGACTAGACGTCACATATTTTGGGACGCTGCTGCTGACATAAAAGATTGCAATGAGAGAATACAAATGAGCACGCTTATACCATAACTTGAGGGCCAAAAATTCCTTCCTATTCCAGAGAGGTTATAAACATAAAGAACAATGCTTTTACAATAGGAGGACAAGGAAATTTAAGAGCAAGGCTGTGTGACTGCCTTGTTGTCTGTAGAGAAAACCTTCCACTCTTGTTTTCTTTACCTGACAAAATTTTACTAATCTACAAGGACAATTGCACCATGGTGTATGATTAGAACTGTGCTGGTGGGTAAAATCAGTGGGTGGATGGTATCGGGGCATAAGAGTAGAATTATGAGTCACAACACCCACCAGTTTTGTTTTAAAGGGGCTGAACAGTTCAGGCGATGAAAACAAAGCAGAACAATCATGTTAACCTTGTTTAATAAGCACAGTCTCTCTAAATCCAACTATATACAGTACTGTTCAAAAGTTTTAAGCACTTATTTATTTAATAATTAAAGGTACTTATATAACGCCGTCAATTTACGTGGTGCTTTACATATATACATTCTCATGAGTCCCTGCTCTCATGAAGCTTACAATCTTAAGTCCCTAACTCACACACGTACACATACTAGGGCCAATTTAGACAGGAGTCAATTAACCTCCTGGCATGTCTTTGGAGTGTGGGAGGAAATCAGATCACCCAAAGGAAACACACGCAAGCACAGAAAGAACTTAAGAATAATGCTGCAAAGTTATGCTGCTTTAACAATAATGCAATGCATATTTTTATTTATAAATGAACAACCTGTAAAGTGCATGCACATTAAAAAAAACAAATTTTGTGTGCTCACCCTTTGCATTTAAAATAAGTTAAGTTCCCTTAGATATACTTGCACACAGTTTTTAAGGCACTCTTCATGTAATTCCAGACAGGCAGATGTTCGTTGAGTTCAGGGCTCTGTGGTGGCCATGCCATCACTTTCTGGACTCCTTATTCTTCTTTTTTCTGTTGATAGTTCTATTTGGCTTTGGATGTATGTTTGGGGTCATTGTTCCATTGCAGAATAAAGTTGGGACCAATCCGATGCCTCCCTGATGCTACTGCATTGTGGAAATATATCTGCCTGCCTGTTTTTTTTTGGCATTGAGGAAACCAATAAAGCCCAACTTCAGAATCAGAACAGGATCCAGTATTATGTTAACCAATGTTCCAGCATTGTCTTCCTCTCCTCCAAAACTCTGGACTGTAGGCAGTCCTTCAACATCACTATGTGTAATACAAGACCTTTTAACCCTGTATTGTATGTGTAAGGGGGGTGAGCATGACCACAGCCATGAGCAGCTTAGAGAGGTGGCTGCAACTACCTAGTTGCACAACTGAAAGCCTGCTGGATCGTGAACTGTAGGTAAGTATATTTCAGCACTTCCAGACTTAACAGGCTTTTTTTTGTTGTACCCAGAGTTGGCCTTTATTTCTGTCCAAATCCCCAACTCCATGAGCAGAAATGCAGCTATATACCTGCAAGTTTCACTGTTGTCTTCAGACACTCGTGTTTGTACTGCTTTCCAGACCTTTTGGCAAACTGCCTTCTGTTGCAGCCAAAAATTTGAACTCATTAGTCCAGAGCACCTGCTGCCATTTTCACCAGTTCTTGTGTTTACATGCATATGAAAATTACTTGGTCTTGTTGTAACATTGAAGGTATGGCTTTTTAGCTGCATGTCTTCCATGAAGACTACTTCTGACCTGACTTTTAAAGACTGTACACTGGTGTACCAGTGTACTACGGGTTTCTATGAAGTCTGATCTGATTGTGCCACTGGTCGTCTTTCAATTATGAAGGAAAGAAAACATGGTGTATTTTTCATCTGCTGCTGGACCTATTTGATCCTCAACATTGTCCATTGCTTCTGCAGAGAAGCACATCTGGATACATCTGTCTTCCTCAAAATCTTTGCCTGTGAGAGACCTTGGTGATGCAGACGGACCACCCTGTGTTTCATTGCTACACTCAGTTTTATCATTGGGTAACATTTTTCAACACTGAACTGTTTTCAGCGGCCTTTAGCTTGTTAGCGGAGCATGGTTTTTCCACACCAAGTTTCATTAGTTCAACACAGCTGATACTGTTGAATTTAATGACTGTATTTTAAACTACATGTTATCTTGTTGATCATTAGCACCAGCTTGGTACAATTGTTTAATCATGCACTGGATCATGCCTTCAAATCCTTAACCGTGTGCAAGCACACCTGGAAGAATTGATGCTGCTTTAAAATGGTAGACACACCAAATATTGGATTCTTTTAGGTGTTTTTTGCAGTTTTCAGGTTATTTATTCATAAATAAAAACTATTGCTTTCATTGTTTTTGAAAGCATCATCACTTTGCATTTTTTCATCAGTGCCTAAATCTTTTGCACAGTGCTTTGTATATTTTTTCTTTTCAATATGTTCATTGATTTGGCATTCTATAAACCCTCAAACATGATAATTACATTCCTGCTTCTGGTAATCTTGGCCTGTAGAAATGATTGACAGCTGTAAGAGAAAAAAGGCAGAATGATCCTGGATGAAAAGAAGCTAGCTGACTAGCCAATGATCATTAAAGGGAAGGACCTTACTCTTGGATCTGCCTGGCCTGCTAAATATCAATATTCAAATCTGAAGTCTTTATGACTTCGGTACTTTGTATAAATGTTATGCATTGCCACAATTATATTATTATTATAATTTTCTTTTAGTAACTGGGCACTAGAATAAAATGCATTAAAATATGACTCCAGCCATATAGATTAATCACAGAAGATGAATCAACAAAATGTATTCTCCCTCTATATCAATATTATTTTACATACTTTAATAATCAGTCCCAATGCATCCAAGGAAATGTCATCATTTTCTAAAGTTGTATCTTCATTCTTAAATGTAATGTTTCATTCATTTCATTGTATATGTTTCATTTTTTTTTTTATTCACAGAACTAAAGGGAGTGTGTACAGGGATACAGGCATTAGTTATACAGTGCTTGCATTAAAGGAAAGACAGTCCACGTGAATATATCATGATAGAATGCCAATATGTGGTCCGTTTTCCACACAACTGAATCCACCTTACAGCAATGTAAAGCAAATAAAAAATACAAATCCATGGGTGTCTTGTGTACGAGGGATATCTTCATGGGGCGCTTTGCTTTCCTAGGATTTATATTGTAAACTTTATCAACGGATAGAAAAGTTGGATATGGGTGTATTCATGGTACCCAAATCCCCTTTGCCTGAAAATATGCAATTGGGGGTAATTTGGGCATTGGAATAAAAGAAAAAAAAGAGGGTGGGAGAAATGTATTCTTGCTATATATAAACACTGTCACTGACATACTATACTGTATGTCTATTGTAATGTTTCACAACTGCTGTTTCTATTCACACTTTGAAATATTTATTTTCTTAATGTGTTAAATGATATAATAAAGCTTATTGGCTTGTAATTGTTTAAAAATGCAGTTAAATATAAAATTATACATATAGTTAGACATATGTGTTAACATTTTCATAGTAGTATTGCCTCTACCTTTATGATTAAAGCTTTTTAGTCACACATCTAGGTATGGCTATTTTTGTGACTAAAAAGCTTTAATCATAGTATATGGTGTATCAAAAATGTATCAAGCTTATACAATCTATTTTAGTGCATCAGAGGCAGGCAACTCATATTGCTACACTCTTAACTCTCTTTGCACTATATACAGTATGACATAACAGAGAGAAGCATTACAATTGAGAAATTCAATCTAAAGTATGGAAAATAATCCCAAACT